AATTCTGAGATCAAGGATGACCTCCAACCTTTCCCCAGTTCCTGCCACTCCTAATCTCTTGCTTTATTGAAATCCACCAGCGCTCAGTTGAAGTATCAAAGGTTTTAGGGCTGAAGTGTTTTGGAACTCAGGTTAGAGTTTGGGGTTTAAGGCCGCTGAGGGTTGGATGAGCTTACGTATGGGTCCGCGGCTTAGTTTTTTTGGCTAGTGGCTGGGCTTGTCCCTAAATACATCGACAACAAAAATGCTGAACCCCAAACCTCCCCCAATTCCCCAAAGCCCTTACTTAACCTTAAATGCCAACCAAAGTGTCTGAACATCCCTGAACCCTGTAAAAATACATCCCCCAAACTCCTACATCCCGAACCCTAGAGCCCCGAAGCCGCGACCCCTGAACCCTGGCAAACTAGGCCCCCTCATCGAAACCGTACGCAAACCCGAGACTCTAACCTAGGACTTTTGTGCAACCACATGATGAATGTTCCATTAATGGCACTCTTATGTGACTCTAACCCAGAAACCTCAACCCCAAACCCGAAACCCTAATCTAGAATCCTGAACGAAGCCTTATGGCATATGGAACCATACACAAAACGAAACCTCCGTGAAACTCGTTCACTGAACCCCGCGCCCTGGACCCTAAACACACCCTGAAACCAAGTCGCCCTCAGCTACGGAGACCACTTCGCTCCCGGAGAGATTGCTGAGGCTCGAGCGGGGCCCTGTCCCGAGCAGCTCGTGCCTGGAAAACTTTGAGGGTTCCTTTAAGGGTAACCCTGAAAGGAACAGGAACCCTATAAAGGAAGCCTGAAGGAACATTATACAGCACCCCAAAACAGATTTGGACAATAACACAAAGGATCTACGTTTCCTGTGGAGGGAACTACCAGGCTTGTATATAGGGCTTATATCGGGGCTTTAGGGTTTCAGGGCTTTGGTTACGAATCCTTCCAGGGATCTACAAGGGATCTGTCATGGGGCCTTCACAGGAAAGGGTGTGGGGCAGACTCTGTTATGCCAGCATGGACCCGAGACAAGGAGAGACCACTCGCCGCGTGAGAACCACCACGACGACTAAGACCACGCCGACGACCAAGACGATCACGGCGACCACGACGACAATGACCACCAGAAGGCCACGACGATCACGAGTACCAGGACGACAACGATGACTACCACGACCACGACTAACGACCACACCGCGAGAAAGACGACCAAGACGACTAGCAATAACAGTAGGCCACCAAGGAAACCCGGCAGCGTTTAACTGGGCAACATACCTTGACTGGTGTTCTTGACGCTCAGGGTCCCAAACTTGATAAGACGCTGTTGGCTACCCTCGAAAAGTTCAGGGGTGGAGTGGTTTGAGGCTTCGGTACATAGCGCTCCGGGCCCAACACAAACCCGAAGCCATGAACCATATCAGGAAACAGGCAGTCAAGTGGCAACTGGGCGCAGACCTCTCCCGGCTGCAGCTCTGCTGCATCCGCCGTCCATCGCATGGCATGCGTCCAACCGCCGATTACTCCGAACGGCTCCTCGCATAGTTTCTTTTGATTTGTGTTGCTTTGGTTTAGTGTTTGAGCTTCAGGGTTTCGAGCTGAGAACTTAGGGTTGATCCCGGGTTTGTCAGCGCTCAGGGCATAGTAAAGTCCTCTTCACCCTAAACCCTCGACCGTATTCGCCGAACTCCACTCCACGCTTCAGGTTTTCTGAGAGCTGAGCTTTCCGAAAAGCCCTGACCCGGATTTGGGGTTTCAGTTTAGCGGTTTCAGTCTGGGATTTGGGGTATGGCATACCCCATACACATCAGACGGATGCCAGTGCAAAGCTGCTGCTGTGACAACGACGCTGCCATGTCGACCGACAACGACGAGGCCTTGGATGATTTTGATGACCGGTTTCCGGCTGCCACAGTTGGGGAAACTCTTACGCGTGATTTGAAAGAGAAAGTCGCAGAACAAGGCACCCATGTACAATTCCACGATCTATGTGTTGATCGTTACCACCGCTGTATGCCCATCAACAATCAAAGCAGCTGCAAGCCACTGAACCACACAGGAGCAATCCATATGCCAAGGCCAAGCTTCTTCTTCTGCGGCCTTCTGCCTATCCTTCCCAAAAGAGCAAGGCTGCGGGTCTTAAACCACGAGGCCTTGGACTCCACTTCTGTCGGTCTTAAACCACATGGCCTGATGAGTAAAGTAGACTGCCAGGAAAAGCATAGGCACGCTCGGCACGCATAGGGAGACACCAAAGCTGCCGAAAAGATCCCGACAGGTGCCGAACAGGAAGGGCGCACTTCCTGTGCCGACCAAATTGCACAACAAATTACTGCCCAGAATGCGGCCGATCTCCTCCCGACTGACTCCCTGGGCAGAAAAACACAAGCCTGCCAAGAGCAAGCTCTGCAAGATTCCTGTGCTGATCCCGCGCAGCACACCGTAACAAACTGCTGCGAACCAACTTCTGATCGAGGAGAGCATCAGTGTAGCAATGGATCCGAGGATGCTTGCTAAAGCAAGCAGACCTGACGGCAGCCACTTTGAGCGGCTACTTTGTGCGTCCATCAACTCACCGACAGCCGGAAGTGCGATCGAAGTGACCACAGCCAGAGGAGTGAAGATGTGCCAGGGCACAGACACTCCAGAAACTTCTGGCATTGGCGAGGCCTCTTCAATGATCTCCACCATATAGAAATCAGAGCCACCAAACATCATTGCATAGAAGAAAGTAAGTCCGAAGTGGGCCAAAAACTTCCGCAAATCTGTCGGTATGGCCTCCTCTTTCAGCTTATCCGGCTTATCCTTCGTCTCAGGCGCCTCTTCCACCACAGTCATTGCCGAATTTTCAGGGCCCTGGCTGGATCCATCTGGCATCAAGCCGCAAACCTCGGGGCTCCTCCTGAGAAGCAATAAGCTCACGGGTGCCAATGCCAGATTCACGGCCGCTCCCAGCATAGCGGCCTCACGCCAACCGTAACGATCTACGATGCCCGCGATCAATGTGCCAAAAAGAGCCTGGCCGAGCCATTGGGTTGTAAAAATTACGCCGACGGCACGGCCACGCTTCTTGTGGAACCATTGCTGCACAAGGGCGTTGGGAAAGGTCTCCCCTGCGCCCAGGCACAGGATCCGCAGCAAGAAGAAGACCGAGACCGCCTGACTCATGGCAAATGGTGGAAATGCGAGGCATCTCAAAATGCAGAGGTTTCAAGATCTTCCGGGCTTCAGGGTGGTTGGGGCATTCAAGCAGCATTTCCTTGCAGGCGCAAGTGGCAGCTCAGGCTCTGGCCTCCATGCGAAGCAGCGGCCGGTTCTCTGCGTACCAGTGAGCAAAGACTGCGAGTGAGGCGCCTATGGCGAGCTGCAGCAGCGAGATGCAAATCCGTCCCCCAAAATAATCCACGGCCCTACCGAGCATGGGCTGAGCCATGCCAGCCATGATCGTTGCAGCTGAGAAGAAGCCTCCAAGATGAGCATGCGAGAACCGGAACTCTTCCATCAGGTGAGGCACGGTGTAAGTCATGACCTTGTTCTCTCCTCCGACTTGGATGGGCCAAAAATCATGTGCGACTCACCGATACTCCGTTCATCCTAATCTCTGCCTAGAGCAGACCTGAGTAAAAGGGCATCAACAGCACTTGGGTTCGGTCCTTGCACCTTGAAGATCTTACAGAGGATGCAGGTAAACACAATAATCCAGCCATAGAAGCAGCATTGCACCGCCCCACCGTCCTTCCCACTCGCCACCGTCACATACTTGTTTCCCCCGGCAGACATGGCTAAGCCAGGCTGCTATCGAAGCATGTCTTGAACCGAAGCTGAAATGTCAAAGCAAAGTTCAAAATACTGCGCGCCCGTCAAAGCAAGCGCACGAACCTGGTCGCTCTAAGATCGCATCAGCAAGTTGCAAAGCGAAGCTTCAACAGGCCTTGTGACCTCGACTGCTCATCGTGCAAATTCCAAGATGCAGTCGCTACCATTGGGCTTTACAGCATCTTCAATTTTTTATATAGTGTGGGGTGTCAGAACCTGAAGACATCTGAATCCAAAAGCAAGAGCGACGGTCAAGGTGTGACGGTCTTACTAGTACATATGAATGTAGGTATATACACACATATATAAACATGTACATACATATGTACATACACGACAGACATAGGTACATTATGGAGAACAATTGTTCAGTGCTCTGCGGCTCCCCTCTTAGGCAACTTTCTGCGCACCACGCTCAGGCCTGCTGGCTGCGGTGTCCTGCGAGGAAGGTTTGCGCTACATCCCAGAACGACCAGTTCCTGGTAAATGTGGCGGTCCCTTTCGCGTGGCCGGGGCTAGCCCGACTCCCGCATTGGAATCTGCCCGGCAAACCCAGACTGGAGTCCAACAGCTAAGGACCCACGAAAGCCAAAGCGATGCAAAAGCATCCTTACACGCAACCCCAGGCCCTACTCATGCCACGCACACCCAGAGTTGGCCAGGCCACACCCCGTGCCTCGGTGTTCTGCCGCAGGGGTTGTGGCCGACAGCGAAGGCTCACATAAGGCATCACACCAAACCCTCTGTATGTACCCGAAAAGTCGGCTTTGTGGTTGTGCTTCTTGCTGCTTCAAAGCTTTTCTTGCTCGCGCCTGCTCTTGCGGTAGTGGGAAAAGACTGGAAGTGAGGTGACCCGAAGCGGGCAAGGATGTTGCCTGTGATGATGTAGGGCGACCATGATCATGATGAGAACGATAGCAAAGATGGCGCTTGAGAGCCCAAGCTGCAGCATGGTCCTTTGGGATCAAGCTGGGCAGAAAGAACAAGACAGCATAAAAGAGTTTCTCCGCCGAAACTCCTGGTGGATAACATCAGGCCAAAGAACGGGCCACAGCTAGCGATCAAGCGCTCTTGGACTCGTTTTACTCCGCTCTGTAGTGTGCCACTCCTCCCCCGGTAGACAGATACATCTACGAACCCGGCCAGGGCTATGTTTCCGAGAACTAGCCGGTGACTCTGCGCTCATCGCGCACCCTCGAAGGCCCCTGTGTGGCTCGACGCTCGCGAGGGGCTGGATACCACGTAAACCTGCATGTGTCTCGCTTGCTCTCATGTCCAGTTACTCAATTCCAACTGACTTGCCTTCCTTGCATTGTGTACACACTTGCTCTATCCCCTGTATCCCTATTCCCCATCATCCCCCTTTTGGGCTGTAGGACCTTGAATCGCTCCCAGCTCCAGCCACTGGGCAAGTCCTGCGCTTTCTTGCTCCCACTTACCACCAGGTCCTTCACTGCTGGATGCCCTCATCAGCATACTCTATACTCTGCCTGTCTCCACAATCTACAAAAGCAAGACTAAGAGTCCATTCCAAGCTCAACCCAGTGACTTTCTTCGACAGGGAGATGAAGCGGCCCCTCCAGGGATTGTGCAAAGCAATCTGCTCGTTCCCGGCCGGCACTACCGCGAACCGCAGGCTGGCCCAGTCGTCCGGCAGCTCGTGCGCAGACAGTGAAGCGCTGGCCTGGCAGCTCTTGGGCCCACCGCATGGGAGAATTAGAAGTGTTTGCATTCCCACCGACCACAACTAAGCATGAGCTCGCTTCGATTTGCCCATAGTTTGGTCGTGTTCGCTGCTTCCTGGGTCTTATGGTACGGGCATGCCAAAGCTTAAGATGAAAGACTGTTTCCGAGATTACGCCGAGTTGCCCTCATCTTGCGGTCGCTCGTCATTGCAACGAAGCGATTGTACTTTGCGCTGTGAAGAGCAATGAGACCACCCCCCGCATCTACTACCTTGAAGAATGTGTACGACTCACGCGAGGTGGGTTTGTAATATGGTCCATGCCAGCCAGTGACAGACATGTCATTCCCATTCATGCGCATGAAGCGGTTGTGCTTTTTGCACCGGAAAGCAACGACAGACCCGGGCTCCAGGTAGAAGTAAGGATGGCCTTGGACCACGGTGAACCGCTCGTATGTCCAATTGGGAGACAGGTCGTCGGCATTCAAGTCTTTGTCACCTTTCCCCCCACCTTTCGTCTGCATGGTGCCCTCCGGCCGCATCTGCATGAAGCGGCGATGCGCTCGGCAATAAAGAGCAATCTCCCCTTTACCCGCATTCACAGGCGTGAATCGCTCAGATTTCCAATTGGCTGGGAGCGTGGCCCTATCGCCGCTCATGTCCATGTTCGTCTTAGATTGCATCCTGATGAAGCGGTTGAACCTCGGGTTGTGAAATGCCACCTCCCCGTTGCCTGCATCCACCACGGTGAAGTACTCGCGATCCCACGTTTTCTTCAGGTCTCGAGCTTTCATTCTTCCGGTCGCCCCCAAATCCCTGCCTCGGCGCCGGTCCGAGGCCTTGATGTATCGCTCATGCTTCCTCAGCTGATCCAGGAGGCCTCTTGACTACTCTAAGATGCAAGTTCATAGAGCTGTAGCCCTAGACTCTGTAGACCCTGTATCATGGCTTTCCAGCTTCACAGCTCAGCTTCTTACTGTAGAGGGCGACCATGGTGCCCGGCTCGAAGACGGTGGGCGGCACATAGTTTGTGGAGAAGGAGCGGAGGGCATCCAAAGCCTTCTCCCTGCTTTTCGAGGACACGAAGGGCAGAGCATTCAGGGTCACCGCGAACCTTCGCTGGTCTTGGCTCAATGCTACAGCTGTTGCTGTTCACAACCTGCGGCGCTCTTCTGGGATCATCTTCTTCCGGGGTGTATTCGTAATTGACTAGTTGCAAAGCCAAAAAAAAACAAGGCGTCCAGGCGAGAAAAGGGAGAACTGATTCCAAGCCCCTGGAGCTGGTCTACGATGTCCACGAGCTTGAGCCTCTTCTCCTCGGACTCGAAAGGCCCGAAGCCCATGCGCATGCCCAGCTCGAGGCCTTGGTCCGGACCCCACCCAGCAAGCCGTGTAGTGGGCTGTAAGTAGGGCTGGGCGACTGGTACATCCAAAAAAATCATTCACCTCTCCCAGGGACTGTTGCCCTCCAGCAGGCCCTTGAGCTGGAAGTTGATGTTGCCCGGGTGCTTGAAGCTGAAGAGCTGGAAAAGCGAGGAGCTGCCCGAGGAGCTCAGGCCCAAAAGCTCCTCCTTCGAGGAAAAGGAAAACCTTGAGGGTTAAGGGGCTTCGGGGCTTTGCCTGAGCGACGCCTGGATCCCCAGCCAGCGGAATACAAACATACAGATTAGGCCATTAGGCTCTACAATATCTGTTCCAGACCACAGCAGGCGACTCGGGTTTGGGCGCTGTGGGCTGTTGGCCTGGGGTATTGTTTAGTGTTTTAAGGCTTCACGGGCTTGGGTTTCAGCTTTGCGGTCGGCTTTACGTAGAAAGTCTCTTCAAGGGGAGTTTTAAGTGATGTTCTGGCGCACATACCATAGTTTTTGTAGTTCCCACGGATGGACCCTTGTAAATTCTCGCAGGCCGAGCACGAGGAACCTCGAAGCGAGAATATTATCACCACTCAGTTCATAGGTTCAAACACTGACTGACACGTGCTCCTTTCAGCTTTATGTCACAGTGCTGTACAGTTGCTACGTTCCTTCCTCCGTGCCCCTGCTCACCAAACGTAGGGACTGAAGGTCAGCGCAAAGTGAAGTATGTTGTAGGTATATCGACTCTGGCAAGGAATCATCTTACACACTTTGCTTGGTTCTGTCAGCGTATGTTGCAGGGACAACCGATTATGTGTAGACAAGGACAGCAGGGCAACACGATCATTCATTCCAGCGATTTCCAGCGGAAAGCCATCATAAAAGGGATACCAGCCATCCGCCAAGGTATAAATTCAATAACCACGGCCGATGAGAAGACGCAGCGGATGCTTATGCCTTCCGCAAGAACCGAACCTCTGCGGGCCTTACCTACTACAAGTTCCATTTAGATCCAAACCCTGCGCTGCCTAACCCGCGCAACCTTAAGTCCTATGATCTCACTGAAGCGCATTCCCACTCGCCCACTTCCCGAAACATGCAACAACCCTAAACCACAAAAGCCCAAGTGCCCCCGTTAAACCTGAAATTCAGACTACACCAGAAAGACGAAACACGCCGAACACCGAAACAACAACGCATCTATCAAAGCACACCACCACCACCACCACCACCACCACCACCACCACCACCACCACCACCACCACCACACCACCACCACCACCACCACCACCACCACCACCACCACCACCACCACCACCACCACCACCACCACCACCACCACCACCACCACCCAGGAGCAGCAGCAGCAGCAGCAGCAGCAGCAGCAGCAGCGGCAGCGGCAGCGGCAGCGGCAGCGGCAGCGGCAGCGGCAGCGGCAGCGGCAGCGGCAGCGGCAGAGGCAGCAGCGGCACCACCACTACCACCACAATGTCCCCGCTCGGCCACTGCCTCTGCCATCCGTTCGCCACTCTGTTCGCCCTTCAGCCGCCGGGCCACTCCCTCGCCCCTTAGCTCAGAGTGGGTCTTCATGCCGAGATCCTGGGTCGCCGTTTGAAGATTAGGGTTGAGGGTCGTGGGGTTCAGTTTGCCGCGACGATACAATTGAATTTTTACGGTTGAAGGTTTGAGGCTCAGAGGTTAGGGCTTGGGGTTTGTGGGTTTGGGGCTGCGGTTTGTGGGGGTAGAGTTTTGAGACAAAGACAAAGAATTCAAAGTTGACCGAGGAGCTGGACCTAGATCCAACGAGGCCAAGTAGAGGTCCTGCGTGGGTATAAGGATTCCGGGTTTAATTTGAAGGCTCATGGGTGCTTGTACTGAATCTAGAAAAGGTTGTGATATTGCAAATAGCACGTTGTAGTGAATGCAACCGTGTGTGCAGGGTTCCAGTATTAGGAACTACGGTTTTTGGAACTACTCTCTGATTGGGTGCTTTGGCCCTTTTGGGCAGGGCAGGGGCCCGTTCTACAGCTCGCCAGAGTTGAGGCACCATGCCCAGGCCCGTGCAACTTAGCCTTAAGAATTTTGCCGTGACCGGGATGTAGCCATTGCGTAGATGCTTAGCAGAGCCTTGCGAGAAGAGCCCATACCTGTCCACGCTTTGAAGCGTCGAGCTTGGGGTCCAGGCTTCGGGCGTGGGATGGCAGCGCGCCTCCATCGGAGCCTCCCACTCCAGCTGCGCCAGCTGCGCCTTGTGCAGTGCTGCGGTAGGACTGTCTTGGTGTTGTTTAGGGGCAGTCTCGGGTTTTGGCGATTCAGGGTGCTTTTTCTAGTATATTGTGTACATCAGCTTCGTTGGGTGTAGGCTTCGAGGCTTTGAGGTTGACAATGGGATTTAGGGCTCTCACATCATTGCCCCAGTAGTGTGCCCGAAAAGTTGGTATGTCCCCTCCGGCGCACATGTCTTGCGTTTCTTTTTGGTTGTCTATTTCTTGGCACCCCTGAGATCAAGTCAATACTGAACTGTTCGAGCTATGCTACTTCACAGTCACAGAACCGAGGGATGTTCGACATTCTCCCAATGATAGTTGCCAAAGTTCTGGAGAAGGTGTAAGCTCCTCATGTGGCGGGCCAGGCTGCTTGATACTTTGGCAGCAGAGCAAACAGCAAGACATCGAGTAAGCTCTTGTCTGACGAGGCTGTTTTTAGCTTGGTTCTCCCAGGATGCCAGAAAAGACCAAACTCAATCGTAGTCCTTCCTGGGACTGCTAGCAATAATTAGTCCGCGCAGAAGTCTTCCCAAGCATCATTCAGGTTCTGTCACTAAAGGGTCCTAAATAACTGCAAGCATTGCTTTAGCTTTAAGGTGTATAGTGGTTTTTAGGAGGTATTACCTCGTTGGATGAAAATGAGACCATTCCCCCCTCCATGAAGATAACATCATTCCACCCTCCAATCCACCCTCCGGTGCCTCGCTGGCGTTCATGGATGGCAAGTCTTCTGGGTGGACGCTGCTGTTGGTCTCCAGGAGCCTGAAAGCTGGGGCTTGGAGTCCAGCATCCGTGGATTTGTCGGGGGCTTTCAAGAATGAGTATCCGGCATGCCTGTCTGCAGGGTTCCGCCCTGCCTGTTTCGGTTGGGCTGGTTGGCCTGGTGGTGGCTGTTCTGCTCACCAGTGGACTGCTGCGCCTCTTGTTGCCCCTGTTGCCCGGCCTGCTGCGGTGCTGGCAAAGTGCGTGGCGTATGTTTTTCTTCGCCATGGTACCCTGTGGGTCAGTGGCGGGTGCCGGTTAGGATTGCTGCCGGTGGCACTGCTGTGCCTGCTGTTGGCCCTGTTGCTCGGCCTGCGGCGGTGCTGGCAGGGTGGGTGGCTTATGCTGCGGCGCCGTGCTGTAATGTTGGGTCAGTGGCAGGTAGTAGGTAAGGGCGTACCCCCACTGGTTGACATTTGGCGTCTCGCAGGATTGTTTCATCAGAAGTATCATATCTCCAAGAAGCCACGCAAACACTGCACCAAACAGTAACAGAAACATTCAACTAGAAACAATGTGCAACTGGCAGTTTCTGGAAGCATGAGCAGCGACAAAGCAGCCATGAGACCGCAGAAAGAGCCACAAAACTTCTACAGGGCCTGACCAATCACACAAAATGGCTGAAGTCCCTAGCTAAAGGTCCTAAAAGTGGGATCTCTCGAAGATTCGCCAATCCGAGGTGCTTGGTCCGGCTCATGGACTCCCGAGGGTTGGCAGGGCGAATCCAGGTGGCCGTGCTGCCGTAGGTGTTCTTGCTGTCGAAGTCCTGCGCAACATCACTTGATGGAGCTTACACATGGAGGTTCTGCAAGTTTGGGGTTCTGATTTGAGAGCTGGTTTCTGGTGTACCGGGCTTCAAGAGAACACTGGAAGACTCTGAATCCTGAACCCCTCAACCCAAAAGACAAACTCAGACCGCGTTCTCCCTTCAACATGTATCCTCGACGTGTTAACACCTGGTCACATCAGAGCTCAGCCCATTGATCATTGTCATTTCTCTGCCACACCTTAACTTGAATCCTAAGCCTCCCCGCTTGTGTCCGTGCTGCTCCCAAACCGCTTGCTCAGGCGCAGCGTGCGACTGAAGAGCCTCGGGGGTCTGAGTCTCAGAATCACAGTCCAAATATATCGGTTGAGGGTGTTTGAGGCTTGGGAGTTTCGGGTCAATGATTTGCAGTTTGAGGGTTAGTGTTTGAGGGTTGGGGGGCCAAGGGTGCAAGCCTTTAGGGCTTTGGGTTCGCAAGGTTGACGGTTCGCGCCGGGTGTGGCCACGGCGGCGAAGCATTTTGGAATCTGAGCAGAGGTTCAGCGTTGGACGCGGGTTAATAGTCTGCCCTTCAATGCTTGAACCGGTGGGGAGCTACGACAGTAGTTGCCAATTAGAGTCTCTCAATGTAGGGTGTGTGAAGTGGTCGTCTGCGAAGGTTGTGGGATTCCTGATGTTAGGGCTCGGGGTTCTGATCTTGTCAGGGTTTACATGCAGTCGGGTGTTGAGGAGATAGGACTTGTGCCTTTAGGACTAGAGGCGACGGTGAAATCAGAGATCAATGAGTTGCGGATTGCGCTTCTTCTATGGCCGTCTTGGCAAATTCTTCCAAACAGAAACTTGAAATGCAGAACGACTTCGCCGCGAGTACCGTTTCAACGTGAGAAGCTTAAAAAGCTTCCTGTCATGCTGGGACTTCTAGGGGGAGCCACTTCAGTCTTTACAATCACAGGCCAAAGTCCAAAGGGCATATTTGCGAAAGCGTTGTTAGAGGTCGCACTGCGGCCACGATAGCTACAACTATCGGGTGCCCGAAGGATCGCTGTGAATACATGTGCAAAAACAATGCTCGGCCTAGAACCAAAAACATGCCGACCTGGATCCCATTTGGTTAGATCTAGCCGCTCTAGCTTGCTCTGTGCAGGGCCCAGGAGCGTGACTCCACATGAGCGGATCACCGTCTTCCTGTGGACGCCGTCAGGTCATCAGGGTCTCCGAGCAGCCGGATAACACGTGCACAACATCAGGGCGCGTGCATTACGGTACATTACATTAATCCCGTTTTGGGGAAAGGACCAACCAAACTCCTCCCTAGATACCTGGCAGAAAACTCTCTTGAAAGCCGATCCCGATCTCCACCCGAAGCTGAAAGGCTCCAAGGCTCAGCTGCGTCAGATCCATGCCATCCGGGTTTCCGAGGGGCCAGCAGACTTGTGCATCCTGATTTGCGATAGATATTCACATGTCAGTATCAAATATGTATATATATATATATGGAATTGTATATATGTATATATCGATGAATAAAATGACTATACATGTGTATGTACATGCCCAACCAACCACACACACTCACGCACACCCACACACACACACCCACAGACACACACACACACACACACACAACACACACACACACAACACACACACAAAACACATACACACACAAAACACACACACACACAACACACAACACACAACACACACAGATCACACACACACACACACACCACACACACCCACAAAACACACACACACACAACACACACACACACAACACACACACACACAACACACACACACACAACGCAACACACCCACACACACACACACACACAGACACAACACACACACAACACACACACAACACACACAACACACACAACACACACAACACACACAACACACACGCACAACACAACACAACACACACACAACACAACACACACACACACAAACACACAGACACACAAACACACACACAAAACACACACACACACATATATATATATATATATATATATATATATATGTGTATGACTTTAAACATGGAAATGATTGTACATATGTATTTATACATACATATATATATATATATAATATATATGGTCAGGCGTCTGGCGTTCCCCCCCCCCCCCCCCCCCAATGGTATGGTCTGACAGGGGTGGGGGGGGGGGGGGCATGGCGTGTGCGGAAAGGGGTTGGGGGCCGTTGGAGCTGCCACTGGATGGTGGGGTGGTGCTGGCTGCCAGGGCTCACGCGCAAGCCCTTCGCAAGCAAGCCGTAAACCCTATGACGCAGCGCGTGCCCCTGTTTTGAGCAACCTTAACTTGTACTTAAAACGCTACACCCAACCCTAAAGCCCACCTAACTGCAGGCCTAAGCCTAAAGCAGAAAATACACCGCAAATCCTCCCTAAGCCCTTGTCGACTCGAAGCCTTATACCTTGTAGCCGTAAACCCAAAACTCAAAAGCTTAAGCTAAACCCTAAACCCCAAAACCCCACAACCACCCCAGAGGGGGAAGAGGAACCCCACACCCACACCACAGGGGAGGGGGGGGCCCCACCCTATATCCACCTTTGGGGGGGGAGGGGGGGGGGGCTGCGGAGCGCGTGACCATATATGCATATGTCTTCGCTTATTTATTTATGCACACTGTGTATGTGCATGTATACGTCTGCAGGTTCTTTGTCAGACGGGTCTACAGGCAGCAAATGCAAGGGGTGGTGCAAGAAGCGTCCATAAACATACCCGTAGTTTTGATGTGCCTGCTGGGCTTACCGAAGCTATGGGCTTTGGGGCTTAAGGGCTTCCTTGGTTCAGGTGATGCGTTCTGCCAAACGAGATTGGAAACCCTATGAGACCGCTTCGTGGGAGATTTAGGATTGCCGTCGGCTTTCATCTCATCCCCTTGTTGTCCAGGCTGCAAGTGCAACAATGAGCTCGTCAACTCTTCTGAGCTCTGCCCGCGTCTGAACCCCGATCCACATCATAGTTAGGTCAAGGCATATTGCATGGAACACCTCCGTAAAGCCCCAAACTACAAACAAGCACAAGCCCTGAAGCTAGCAAGCACCCAGACCTTTAACCCTTCAAATTCTTTTCCCCTACTTAAGATCCCGAGCACCAAAGCCTGGCCTCAACAGCTGAAACTCCACACCCTAAAAATCAATCCCAAACCCTGAGCCGGAAAAACACAATCCCAAACCTGAAACTCTGACTTTGCAGTCCCGTATCCCAACTTAGGTGGGGGCTTATTGGCCTAGATTAGTCCCCGCTCCAGATCCGCCGGGTGGCCACTGAGGCCAGGGGTCCCGGCATCACGTCGAACTGCAGGCCACCCACGAAGGCTAAGACGGGCTGTGCATTCCTCGCTTATTCTTGAGCCTCTAAATTTGTGGGGTTTTGGCTTAGGCTTTGACCCTATATCGACGTGGGGTCCCCGTGTAGGATTCTTCCAGATATTGTGCCGGAGGACCGGCTAGTTATGTATGCCATTCTCACTAAGGTACCTCGGGAACTTCAGGACCGTTAGCTCTCGAAAAAGTATGTGAAGCTGGAGGCAGGAGAACCACACCAATATGAGGATGTTGCCCACTTTGCAAGCTTATAGGCATGCACGCAGGTGGCTTCAATGAACACTGGAGTAATGCAACAGACCTGTTGCGTAGGCACAGAAATGTTTGAAACATCGTCGACCTCACCCACGCACACGCAACCAACACGCACAACACACAAACCCACCCCGACCCTTCACGACAACGTCAAACCCAAGTAGCCCCAAAGCCAACAATATTGAACTCTGAACCCAAACTCCGAAATCCAAACTCATGAATTTTGGTTGACCAAGTGGACAACTTTTAGGTGCTACATCGCCTATAGGCCAGCAAAGGGACGCATGATCGTGTTCAATAGCTCCTTGCTAAATCCCTGCCCGAACCGGCCCCAGCCCACAATCAGCCTACACCCCAGACCCTGAACTCCAAGCCCTGAACCCGACACTGTGACACCCGAGTGTCATTTTGTAGGTCACCGTGAGGCACTTCTCGATGGCCAGTTCGGACGTGTAAAACGCGTAGCCTACGTCGAAGCTAAGTAGGAAACTACTCAATGACCACAGCGGAGGGCTCTGTTGTCGCTCGGGGTGGTTAGGGGTGCACGTGCTCGCCTACAAGGAGTTGCAGTGAAATTTTGGAGAACTCCTTCATTCGAGCTGCTTGTACAATCAGCATGGTTTGCTGGTTACAACGCGCAAGCCCAATGCCTCCGAAAGTTGCAGCGATGGGGCCCTACCCGACAAACCCTCCAGTCCAAGGTACGCCGACATAAACCGACGTTTGGAATTTGATTATAGACTAGATATCATACACATACGCGACGGTAGGTTCCAGAGCCCGTGGCCACCTGGAATTTTGGGGTATCTTCAAGGCTACGTGGCTACAGCTGCCAATTAAGCTGCAAATAAAGAAACAACAACGTCAATTAGAGCTATTCTGAGGGCGAGTAAAAAGTGCAGTATACTGAGTATACTGTATACCATACCGTGGTCGTAGGTTACGGACCTTACCAAACCGACAACCGACCCCCGCCCCAACCCTGAGCCCCGAAACTCTCGACATGGACTTTTGGACCATGAGGGCTTGCGTTACAAATACTCCGAGAACCTAAGTACCGAAAACACGAACAAGTGCTTTGAATTCCAAACTCTTCGTCGCATGCTCTTTTCTACACTCCGTGCTTTTCTCTTCTCAAGAACTCCATCCGAAAGTCCTAAAGCCCTGAAGCTTTTTATATGAATCCTAAAGCCAAGGGCCACAGCGGCACCGAAGCTCCGAGTGCCGAGGCGCCCTCCCACTTCGTGGGGTTCGACTTCATCCAGCTGACACCACAGGGTACGGCGTAAGGCTCGAGCTTGATAAAATCGTCCTTGTTCGACACCTTGGGAGAGAGAGCTTAGTACTTCAGTCTTGAGGTTTAGGATTTTCTTTAGGCTTTAGGCTTCGGGCCTTCACATGATCTCATTTCGCAACACGTGAGCTAAATCCCGGCACATAACCCTTGGGATCGTTGACAACCTGTGCTCGAGCCAGAACCGAGCTTATCAACTTTCGGAGCTTGCAAGCCACATTCTGGCACTTTGAGCAAGAACCCAGCATGTACGGTAAACCTTCGGATCTAGGATGATCAGAAGGCAAAACCAAACCCCGTGAGCGTCAGCATTACAACACACGCCTTCTGTGGTGGCGAGTGTGGGGCTTAAAGCGAAGCCTCTTAGCCGGAACAGTAAACCTGAAAGCTTTCCCCAAACCCGAACCCCTTCCAGAAGGCAATCCCAAACATCTAAATCCCAGACTCGTCCCCAAACTCCAATTTTCTTGTTCCCGGCAAGCTCTGAACCTCAAAAGTTTAAACCCCAAAACCTACAGTAACCCTGAAGCTCAAGCCCTAAACCCGAAACTCCGAACCCTAAACAAAAAGCCCCAACCGCCCGAGCCCGACAGCCGTCGCCTGCCAGTCACTCCGCGTCTTGCGAGAGCGCCGCGACTGCGGGGCAAAGGCCAGGCAGGAGCTGGTGTCCGTCTCCCGGCCACCGAACCTCAGCTTGTTTGAGGCTTAAGGATAAGCGCTTGAGGGATTTCGGGTTTAAGGTTCAAGGTTAGGGTTTTGGGCGTAAGAGTGTATTTCCTGTATGATGGTGTCGGGCTTAAGGCTAAGATGCGAGGACTTAGAAAGCAATAGCTGTTTTGATCGGAGTTTACCTCCCGTCCTACACTGTGTATATGGTATACCAGGTATGCAAGAAGGGCCAGGAGGTAAATGAAGTAGCTCACGGCCGGGTGACTTTGCAGCTAGTTAAATATGACTCTGAGTTGTAGGCTCCTCTCTGTAAGTCTGCTGACACAATTATTGCTGTTGCAGTGTCGAATTTCTGGCTTCTGAATCTAAGGAGTATCGAAGATAGTACTTATATGCTCAGGAACGGTAGCCAAGATGACGCCAAGCTAGAGGCAGACCCTGAGTTGCTTACAAAGTTCGGTAGCCCCTAAGAGCTGCTGGGTGGCTGGGTGACGAGCCTCGAGGCATAGTTGCTGCCCTCGACACCTTGGTGGGAGGCACTCCGTTGCAACAGAATGGGTGACAGCAGCTGTTGCCATGCTATGATAAAACGATCTCCGCTTGTGAGACTGCAGAACCTTGCGGGATCTCTACCTCATTACAGTGAATCATAGTTGCCCAATCAACATGCTTGCAATCAATCGTACCAATCGACCCTGATGGTTTCGAAGAGCCCCTCGCGGCGCCAAGTGTCATTTTTAAGTCTGACAGTGGCATCAACATATCAACATGTGGCAGGTCCCTTTCAAATCCTTCAGCTCTTTGTTCTGTCTGACAGCGGCATCATGACGTGGGAGATCCCCTTTACTGTTCAGCTTCGACGCATGAAGTCAAGCCAGCACGAACAACGTTGACTACAACACCTCCAACCAGTAGACACACTGCATTGCAGAAGTCAATACGATCGGTGGGTTCTGGCTCCTCATCCGAAATCCTACATCCTGCACCCTTGACAAAACCGAGGCCGTTACTCCCCCAAGCTCTGAAACCCTAAACCGAAGACCTGTACCCCAAGATACCCCAAGCCCTCACCCCGGTTGCCGGGGGGGCCACCAACCTTGAAGCCAAGTCCATCCGTCGGTGGGTCATCATCTCCTGCCCCCAACCGCAAAATCAGAACGAAGCTCTCTTTCAATTTGAGTTCGGGCTGCAGGAATTGTGTTTCATGGTCTTGTGCTTTAGGTTTTTTTTGCCCTTGGGGTCTGTAGGATGGAGGCATAGAGGCCTAGAGCGTGTCTTTGCAGCGGAACTTTCGGTATGGGATCTTGAGACAGGGCGTCAGACGTGGAGGATGTTCCCGCTTGTCTCTTTGGGAATTCAAAACCTTCAGACTTTGTGTTTGGGTTCGAAGCCGAAACCCTGCGCGGTAACTTACAGAAGCTGAAAAAAGAAGCTCCCTTGCACAAGCTGAGGCCACTCACGCCTCACCCTGATAGGCTTAGAACTATCCTTCTGCTCAGATACCAAGCTTGCTTGGCAGCTCTGGGGACTTGGTGAGTCTCTTAGTGAATGCTTTTGAATTTTGCATGAGCACATGACCCAGCTTACAAATGGGATAGCCCCCCCAAACTCTCAACCAAAGCAATGGTGACTTATGCCTTCGGTTATTGCCCGCCCCAGCTACGTTCCCTGAGCCTGCAGTGGCCGACCTTTCCCGGCTGAGGCCTCCCTGGGCCCCTCGGCCTGGCTGGTGACGTCAGAATATATGGTGGGATCAGGGTTTGAAGTTTACTTCAATGGGTTCGAGGTTTATGTTCGGTTCTGGTCTCACGGCTCACGGATTTAGGTTTCTGCTCAAGGTTCACGGGCTCGCGGTCCAAAGTTCCGAGCACACGAGGATGCTGGGTTGTCGAAGACGTGTCTTAGCGTGCGATTCTAAGAGAATTAAGGGGCTGCTGCTGATAGAAGCTCACAACTGCTGCCTTGAAAGGGCAGGAGCTTGGGAAGTCAGCAGGACATTGCAGGACAAAACCCCTAGGAGCAGGCATAGTACCCTGCACCCCCATCCTTCCGCATCCAAGCGGCGCTCTGAGTGGGTCTGGATCATGAAGTTCCTTGTCGGGCAGCGCAATGGACAACAATCTCACCCGAAGAGACTCCTGGAAACCCCAATTCCATTTGCGGCGGTTTCGGCTTTGTTTGGATTGCAAAAGCTGGGGCTAATTGAGGTCCTTCAACATTAGAGGACATCCCCATCCGTAGCTGTATACCTCATATACCTGTATTGGAGTTTTGGCAATCATGACAATCCGCATAGGATAGCTCCAATCAACCTGAATCGCAAAGGTTCTGAAGCCTGACCCGATCCCCAAACCCAAAGCCCGAGCCGTGAAACCTGAACCTTGAACCTAAGCCCTGAATCCCATACTCTGGATCCAAAGCCCTTAGCCTCCGCCAAATGCCGTCAACATAGCTCGTGGTGACACAAGGTCTCAGGCGCGCCTGCTCTCGTGCTGCACGACCGGTGCTGCGCCCGCTCGGGGGAAGGTGGACACGGAGGCGTCCTGAGCCGCTGTGATTGCTAGCGTTTTCTCGGCGAATGTCCTTCCACCCCTCATGTACTTTTGTCAATAGAGTCCTGGATGAGAGCGACGCCGTCCTTCAGGGCCTGACAAATGCTTCATGTAGTTGTCATTCGCTAGTCTCTCTGCTTGCAGTTCGGGTTGAAGGTGTATGGGTTGAGAGTTTGAGGTTTCTCAGGTATAGGTTCGTAACTGCTGCTGAACCACAGCCATCACTCATCAACTCAGCATGTCACCACGGGACTGTCGTCGTACTTAAACTCACGGCCCAAAGTCCTAAAGCCAAAACCCCACAACGCAAATCTTCGAACCTCAAAGCAACAAACGCCTCAGCCTTAACCGCAAGAACCCAAATACTGGCCGTAGTTCCCTCAGTCGCAAAAACACCCAAACCCCAAACGCATATGCCCCTAGCCGAAAACGACACCGCATAACCCTGGCGAGGGCAGACAGGGTTTGGAAGGACGGCGCCTGGCTGGCGACCGTGGCAGCGGTGCGGGCGAAGCCCTGCAAGTACTCGGTAAGCATGTCGCTCCTGTCGGCTCCCCTGTATTAGGCTTGCAACATCTTGCAATTTGATTCGAGCTGCACATGATAAAGTTTCCATGCTTCTTCCGTATGGCCGCACTTCTAACAGATACTTGCAAGTTGTTGTTAGTCGCAAGCATAGCCAGGCCCTAAGTCCCACCGCGTCACCACATGCCCTTCTCTGTGGCCGAGGCTCATCTTGTTCAGGAAGCTCCTCAGCTCGGTGCAGAACCTCTTACAAGCCGCAAGGAATCCAAGAGAAGGCGGCCACTGCCCGCCTGCATTTAGCTCCCTGCAACGCCATGTTCCGGCCCAGGCTCAGGGGCGGCACTGTCTGCACGATCCGCATGCCCAGGCACTTGATGACGTCACCGGCGTTGCTTCTCTTTGCGCATTTCGACAGCTCGTCGCCCATGGTGAGTACGGCCTGCTTCGGTGTCGCATAGATCCTATACGACGAAGACGAATCATCCGTTTAGGAAGCACCACTGATGGAAATAGCAGCAGCAACAATGGACAGATCGACGGCAACAGCAATAGCAAGGGGAAATGCACTGGGAGTGGTATGGTAACCTGTACTGCAGCAGCAGTTGGTTACCGGAACAAGGCCTCGCTGAACCGTCTGATAGGCTTAGAAGTTGCAGGGACCCTCCGTGATGCGCTGAGCCTTCAACGGAGGGATGTTGTTTGCCATCTGGGAGCCGATGCACTTCCTGAGATGTGCTTTGTAGTGATCTGAAGCAGCCGGCAGGATGCAAAGACACAAAGAGTTCAGGATCCAGGTTTCAGGGTACCGCAAGCCCAACAACCTCAAACCTCAAACCCTGAAACCACACAGTAACTAGCAACCCCCCGAACCCTGCGGCATGAGTGACATCTAGGCAGCTTCCGGACACATGCGAAAAGACACTACCTTCTACGTCTTACGAATTGCTGGGAAAGCTGGAAAAGGTCCGAAACTTCAAGTTGGCCCTCCAGGACAACTACTCTTGAACCAGGAATCCTAACCTTTGACCCTTCACCCGCTCTAAAAGCACTAACTCTTCCCTGCCGACATGAAGACTCCAAATCGCAAGCTAGCTTCATGATGTCGCCAAAGCCCCCCCGACAGTTTGCCAGGCCCTTGCCAATTGTAATAGCCTTCCTTCAGGGGGTAAGACAGGCCCAAAATCCCACGCAAAGAAGTGACCAAGAGCTGGGAAGCAGAGGAAGGACCTTACGGCTGAAGGTTCGGAGGTGAGGGCTTTTGCACCCCCTGCTTTGGATCGGCTGGGGGTTGCTTTACGGACCGGAGCCACCTTCGATGCTTGTGGTTTGCGTTTGGCAGGGTTGCTATGGCGATTTTTGAAACCCTGTGGTCTTGATTGGCGCCGGCCAGTTCACGCTCTTCCTGCCGAAGTTGAAGTCGAACCTGGGCTATGCTGGACGCTGTCTTGCACATTTCGGCTTGTATGACTCTACACTGGGTTGAAGCTGGCCTTCGCACATGAATTTCTTCCGTTGGGAAATCCCAGGAGTGCTGTTCCCTAAGCGGGGAGAGACAAACAGCAGGAGCTGGACCGCCAATTGGAGGCTGAGGGTACTTGGTTCTGGGCCTATCCATACATAGCACATACTATAGAAGAAAGAAGGCCCCATACATCGGAGAAGGCTCGGGGCCGTACCAGGGGTGCACGGGACAACCCATAGGCCGGAGTGCGTCGACTTGTCCTTGTTAAGATTGACATCATTTGACGTTAGGGCGAACCCCAAGCTTGCAAGTCAAACCAGAATGCCAAAGCCACAAAATGCGCTAGAACCTTTCGTCCGGAAGCCTATACCCAAGATCAACCCCTATATAACCTGCCCAAGCACAGCGTCAGCCCCTGTCCCATGAGCCGAATCCAGCACTTCCTTACGTCTTCAAAAAGCTGCCAATACAGCTTACGGTGGGGTCTGGGGCTTCAGATATGCGGGCTACCTGATACAGAGGGCAACTGGCGGAAAACACATCTAACTTGTCGAGGGCCAGGGTCTGCATAAATTCCAACATTAGTCCAACGCGAAACTCACCTTGGACAAATTGCCGCAATTGCCAAGACAGACCCGAAAAATCTCGAAGATCCTACGGGATAATTTCAGATTCTGCCTCCACAATCTCACTCAGAACTGCACGGCGGAGCATTTTCAATGTTCGGGATTGCTTCGGTTGTCCCTGAATGCTTACGTTTTTGGACCACGGGCTGTGCGAATTGGGCTGAAAGTTTCAATGTTTGCCCTTTTGCACCTGGACCGCCTGGACCTAAGCGGCCAAAGCTTCCCAGCCTCATGTATCTCTCTCTGGTCCCGATCAGGCTGCACGGAAAGCAAGACAGAATCTGCACATGCCGTCCGATTCCCTATGTTCCTTACTTACTAAATTAATAAAATTGTGATAGCATCAGCAAAAGCATGAACTCCTCAAAATTCACGTGCATCATCGGGTCAAAAACGGTTTCCCTGTCATATTGAGCAAGAATGAGATGCAAGTGTAAAAGGTTGCCCTTGAACAGGCAAGATTCTGCCTTCCGAAAGACACGCTAAAGCCAAGCTCGTCCACCTGTGGGTTCGGAGTTTTTTCGATCAGGCGTGTTTGAAGGCTTGAATTTTGTGTTTGCTGCTCACATCGGTTTAAAGGGTTCCAGTACGGGTGTCAGGATTATTGAGTGGCCGGGTGTAGGCTTCAGGCTGGGTCTGGGCTTCGGGTGTCCATGACGCTTGCCCCAAAGCGTGAGGAAGAATTTCCGCTAACCACTTCTTTCAGTTGCTTCTTCCCCTAAACCCTACAATCGAAGGTTGTGACGACGAACCACGGTTTCGGGATTAAGAGAATCGAGAATGCAGAGCCTACCCATCTCACACACCTTGACGCTGGGCGCGTTGCGAGGGTTGCAACCAGCTTTGAAATCCTCAGCCAACAAGCTTGGGGCCGAGGCTTTTATGAGGGTTTCAAGATGAAGGCTCCGCGGTATGATTGGTTTCTGGGTCTGGAGCTTTTGCGGGTCTTGCTGGTCTTCGACGGACGGGCTTCAGGAGTGATATCTCACGTACTACACTGTTACTACACTCAGAGGAATAGTCATGACAGCAATGACCCGCAAACATAACCTGAAATATGGAGTGTGGCTCCACGCCACACCTTCACTGGTGTGACAAATTTAGATATACAATGCAATTATGCTATGCCCATTTGCTCACTTGCGGTCTGCGGGTTCCGATGTCTGGGCGGGGCCCGGTTCTCGCAGGTTGACGGACTCCTTGCGGTTTTCATTCCCGTTATGGCCACACCTACCAAAGACCCCTTCCAAGTACTTGTACTGTTGACTTCAAGCTCAAAATGCTTGCTTCTGATATGATGCTCCGTCCGGACCCCTAGAGGGACCTTCACGTAGATTAGGTGTCGCAAACTTCCTGCCAAGACTCAGTGAAGCCGCGAGACAAAATGTCCTCAGGGGTGGAGGAAAAAACAGAACGTCGCGGGTTCAAAGTCTACGAGCTTAGTATGTAAGGTTTAGGGCCTGAGCCTCGGCTGCGATTGGGGTACTGTACTGAAATGGATGCCCGCGAACAATCCGGCCGGTGCCCTGTCATGCGGCTGCGATTTCTGGCCTAATTACAAATCTCACCTCCACACGCTTCTCCAAGGGCGTCGTTTCGAGTAGGATGGCCTTGCTACAGCGAATCTTACGATCCATGTGCGTAATCTCGGGAACCTCAGACCCTTCCGATTTCTGAGGCATCCAAAGTGTGAGCTGCAGATTTCGACAGCGACTTACGTTTCCTGGAAATGGAAGCTGCGTAGCATGTGCCTAGCCATAACTAGTCAACTGCAATGCCCTGCGCGGGGTCCACCGCCATTTCCACCGTGTCGACGACGGTCTCGGCCTTAGGATTTGGAGTTCAGGGTTGAGGAGTTTGGGGTTTCAATCATTCTGGACTTTCACGATAACGGTGAAACCGCCGGCAGGTCCAATCAGGCCTTTCGGCCAAAGATCGGAAAGAAGGGCAGATCCCACTTTGCTGACATTTTTGCAGAAGCCTTGGCTTTGCCTTTGGTCGTGACTGGTTCTGGAATCAGCAAGAGACGGAAGAGTACACTGGATAATGCTAAAACCCGAGCCGGCTGCTGCCCTTTCGATCTCAGAATCGTTTCACACCTGGCACACGTCAGGTCATGGCGGTTAACGCTCCACATCATGGAGACATCATCTTTGTTCTGCGGAGAGGTGATCTGTTGCCATACATGTCTCTCCCAACGATTATCACCCTCCGGCGCTTGGCGATGACGATCCGGGAGTTTCAAGACAACCTGGAGCGGTGTCTGCAGGAGGCGATCGTGGTCCGGAAGCAAGTGGCGGAGTGTTATAGTCACTGGGAGGGAGATGTATGGCAACAGACTTCCTTTTCGGAAACAAAGATGATGTACATGGTTTGAAGCGGTAACCGCCGTAACAAGACGTAAGTCAGGTGTACTGCGACACTAGGACTCTGAGATCGAAAGGGAAGCAGCCTGCCAGGGTCTTTAGCTTCTAGTTCCCAAAAATTACCCAGTGTAAGACTGTACGTGACACGTGGTCAAGCAGCACCTCCGTGGCTTTCACGTAGTCCCAGTAGTTCTGGGCTGACTCCTGAAGGTCTGTCAGTTCCTTTGCCTTGTCTTCGGGCAGATCTCGAATTTCCTGTGTTGAGATCCAGTTGAGGCGCTCGAAAACTGCGAGTCTCCCACTGACGCTTTGTGCCTGGAATAGGGATCCAGGTTGGCGTCGACAGTGCTGTTCTCGGCGACTGAAGAGCTACCCTGCGGATCCGTACTGGAAGCATCCGCGACTGACTTCGCGGCCTTTGGAGACAACAGCCTTTGCAGCTTCGACTTGTGCCACAGGATCTGCGTTGATTTTGACAGTCTTTGCAGCCTGCTCTGTTTGCCTCCGTTTCCACGGAGGGATCTCTACAGGACCCAGACCTGGAAGCACGTGCTGATCTATCTGCCGAGTTTCAGCTCATGAGCATGGCGATGCATGGCTTCTTCCAGCAAGCTTCGCACAGGCGACGATATGCTGAAAGACTGGCTTGGGGCATGAAATCGAAAAACCTTGCACTGCTCAAACTACGAGTGCAATAGGTGGCTGATGCACAAGTCGAACTGAGGTCTCGACCACAAAGGCAACTGGATCCTGTAGGATTTTGGGTCAGGGTTGCGGGCTTTAAGTGGGTTTGAGGATTGCGGCTTGGATTGATGGGCTTGCCCCAGAAGCTGTCTACCTCGCACGTCAGGCTTCTGACACCAGTTCGGACGTACTGGGATGTTCTGGGCTTGTACCGAGGCACCACACAAGAACTTGAACTTAAAGCCTTGAAGGGAATTGCAGAGGGTGGCTTTATGCACAATGCGCCTGGTCCAGCTCTGAAACGTATCACGAACTTGAAATCCTGAATCTCTGAATGTGTCATCCAAAACCTGAGCACACTTGCGCTGCAATGTTAAAGGAGCATGCGAAGCAACCGCAATGGCAACACATGTCCCGGAAGCTCCGAAAAAGGCGCAAGTGCCCAAGCCGTGATGTGGTGTGCTTTTTCTGCCATGTTGCTATACGATTCCCAAGTATTGCCTCATATTTATATAGACTGTGCCGACTCGACCTCACCAAGCTCTAGTCAAGGCTTCTTCGAACCGTTTCGAAGACAGACCTGGCTTTGCGAATGGTAGACGCAATCTTACGGCGAAATTGAATTGAAAGGTTCCCCGACAAGACTTAGCACCCAACATCACCCCACCCTCCTCCGAATACACGTGTTTGAGCTCTGTCTGGAAATGCCTGCTCATAGGGTTAGGGATTGGACAGCCGAGAACGGTCCGTGGCTCGCTCGTAGGCGTCCCCGAGCGCATCCCCAATCAAGCCGGTGCCTGCACGGAACTCAAACATACCAGAAACAACAATCCAGGTTTGGTTGTACCACAATACCCAACTCCTGCAAGCAAACACAAAACTGCAGACCTCATTGCACACTTAAGTTGTACATGTGTGTATACAGTGTAGGTAGGTGTATGTATTCATGCATGATCATGCATGCATGTATGTACATGTATGCACGTATATACATACATACATGCATGCATACATGCATACATATGTGTATGTGTGTGTGTGTGTGCGCCGTACATACATAAATGTGCCCTTTTATGTGGCCGTATCCCGCCCCAAATACAAAGTGTTTCCGCATATCCGGAATACGGTTCCCAGCGCGGGGCCCCATTCCCCAAAAGCTCCACCTTGTAAAAACCAAGAACTCCGATCCTGGGAACTCTTGAGACCTCTTGGGAATTCTCGAGAGCTTGAAGTGCAACTACCAATGCTCCTGGAGCCAACAATTCGAAGAGTTCTACCGGAACTACCCGCAGCTTGTATATTGACAGCACGGCACTTTGGCTTTGGGCAGTACAGTACTTTGAAAGAACAAGTAAAAAAGTGCATGCCAAGACTGGGTCAGACGGGAAACCAATTTTTAGGGGTGAATGGTTGGGTACCATATCTATAGACTATAGATCTATCGATCGATCTATGTGTATACACATACATATCATCACATATATGCATATACATGCGCATATGTCGTACATATACGTATACATACACAAAAAATGTCTCATATCAACAGAGACATGGTTGACTTACACCCAAGAGCTGCTAGAAGGAAGAGTGATTGCATATGAACTATGAACTCCCTAGAGACTGTCCCGCTTCAGATGTGCTTCTTTTGGATCCCTGTGCCTGAGGTGAGAGTGCCGATGAACTTGGAGCTGACGGTCGCCTGGGCTTGGGCTCGCGGCTCGCGGCTTCAGCCCGAGCCCGGCTCCCGAAGTGGTGTGGCGCTGCTAGAAGAACACACTCATAGGCCATAGGCTCGAAGGATCAGTTTGCCGGTTGGATTGTCAGCCCAACTTTGAGCACCACAGTTCTCTAGCATGAAACACAGATGTAGCAGCACTATGCAGGCGCCCACTCGATATCTGCTCAAAAGGACCCGTACACACTGACCTTGAACCCAAAACCCCCGGATCTGATTGGGAAGCGGCCCTTCCGCAGCAAACGGGAAATCAATCCGTCTGTGCATCGTCAACCCCAGGCCTTTTTTAAACCCTGGCACTAAAGGACACTAAAGCCTGCTCCGAAATAATCGGCCAAGTGGCATCCAAGGACCGCTCCTCCTCTCCACCCTCCTCGGAGCGCTGCAACAGAGCCTGCCCAGCTCCGCCTGGCGCCCGGGCCTGCCAAAAAGTCTAAGTAGAGACGGTTTTTTCGAAAAAGTTATTTCCCTCCCACCTGCCTCCCCCCAGGATCTACTGCTTTCGCGTGTTGGAGAGCCAGATGCAGCAAACAGCATGCTTTATCTTCTCAGGACAAGAACTGGTGAGAATGCAAAAGGTTGGACACACGTGAGTTGACGTTATTAGAATTCAACCCAAGGAAGGAAACAAGCCTAGCAAGTGGAAAAGCGGAAGGTGATGAGAACCAAACACATGCTCTGTCATTGAAGAACCGTGCGTGTCTAAAAATATACAAACACAACACAACACAACACACGCGAACGAGCCACAACTAACGCCGCGCAATGAAACAAAGGAGTGAATGAAATGAAGCACCTGCGTGGTTTTATTACGAAGATGAGGGGCATGAACTGGGAAAATAATGACATAATATATATATATATATAATTATATATATATAATTATATATATATATAATTATATATATATATAATTATATATATATATATATATATATATATACACTAGACACACGTGTCTGCTTCGCGTGCACTTAGTGTCTGCATCGCGGCGACAACTTTTCTTGCACCGGCGCACAGTTCAAGATGCTGGAAGAACCAGATCGCAGGCGCCATTTGGAGATGGAGCTAAGATGAGGTTTATCCAACGCTTACCGTAGCCTACTAAAACCTACTTGCTTTGTAGGGTCCCTAGAAGACACTCCAGATTTGGGTCTCTAACCCTAAACCCTTAAACCAAGACCCCCTAAACCCTCAACCGCTAAACCCTGAACCCCAGACTCCTAAACCCGTTCCTTTTCTCCTAAATGCTGAACCCGCCGGCCACCCCACTCGCGCGATCAGCGAGATCGTGAGGGAGCTCCATGCTTGTTTACCCTCCGAGCACGCTTGGGCCGAGTCAGATAGTGTTGCCCTAACACACCAACTCAACTCCAATGCCTTGCCCTGCCCCGAAAATGGGTGGGGTTGCGGAAACCAACGGGGGAAGGGGGTCCTATCTGTTGATATGTACATATATATATACATATATATATATATATATATATATACGTATGTATATGTCTATGTGTGTATATATATATATATATATATGTACACACAAAAACATATAGACGCTTGAACACAGCTTAGTGTTGAGGGGTGAGGGTTTGCGGGTCTGAAGAAATTAGCACCGAATTAAGACACATTCGGTGGCATAATGTCCGAACTCAATGATTCAGCAACTCAAACTAACACATCCCGACTGCATACAACATGACCACTTTTCTGCTGTGCACATGCAATATATAAGCTTGAAACTACCAAGACATACAGTCTTAAGGGCAATCTCAAAAGGTCTTGGGACCTAGAACTCTCCTAAACAATACCAATGATCACACTCATTCAACAGCAAATGGGCCCTCTGGGCCTCCGTGGAGTTGCTCGGCACTGCCTGCGATTGCTGCGTCTCGTGGGCTTTGGTTGCGAAGGTGCGTGTCTCCAGCTGCCTGGGATCTGGAAAGGCCTCCAAAATCATCGCATTATTAACGAATGTTCGTAAAGTTTGGGTCTTACATCTGGAAGGAAGACTTTTACGGAGTCTAAACTTCTGTAATCCAGAGCCCGGCTGCTTGTGGTGCTTGCGGAGGACACCCTTCAGGGTGTCATGTGCCTGACGGATTTTGGTCTTTGCCGCCAGCTGCACCTGCAAGGGAATGTCATCCGATACTGGGTCCTCTGCTCGGCCTGCAACCCCTCTAGAGATTCGGTCACAGATCGTCTTTAATTTTTCCATTCATTCAGCTCGGAGTGGCCTCCTGGGTGGAAGGAGGCTGCGGCTGAGGAGCGTTGTGTTCCCGGCTCATGTGTGCTTTCCTCCACTCGTTCATGTCTTTGATCTGCACCTGCTGGAGCTCCACGATCGTCTCCTGGCAAGCTGCCGAGTGTCCTGAACTCTGACATTGACTGAGGATGACTGAGGTACACTACACTGTTCTTGAAAAACCACCCCTCCCGCTACGTAACAGTCCAGCTGGGCGATCTTCATCATCATGAACTCCAAGTTCCGGCCGAGGTCACCCATGCCCTCCATGCCCTCCTCCTGTTTCGTATCGTTCTCAGGGTCCGGAAGGCTTTTGTCTTCTTGAAGGTCGTCGACCTGGGCAGCAGCACCAGCAAGCCCGACACGAAGCGAAACACAGACAAGACCCTGCAAAGCTCCGGGCCACGTTCCTCGAGAGGATGCGCTCCATCCCCTGCTTGGCAGCGTCGTTGGTGGGGATGGATCGGGAAAAATCCTTGGTCGGGCGCCGCTGACACATGAGACTAGTAGCAGCTCAAAGCGAAGCAGCGGGTACTGCAGACAAGAAAGCCAAGTAGCTGTTTTCATCGCCAGTGCGGAAGGTACGAGAAAACATAGACCATAAAACATACGAAATAGCTTCATTGCAAAGGGGGTTGTCTACGCCGGCCCGGCGCGCTAGCCGATACTGTGCTTCGACTTTGTCGAAGCAGCAAGCTGAGCCAGCACAGTTTGCGGGTAGCTCCGACAGCTGCACTGCTGTGAACTCCCAAAATCCTATTCTTATTATAGTAGGGTGTAGGTGTAAGGCCCTTACAACGCAGTTCTACTGTACTTTTCTGGGCTGCGTGCTTCAACCCACGCGTTTCGGGTGCGTTAACCGTGCAAAACTGAAACTCAAAGGGCCGAGTTAATCTATGAGTGTACCCAGGTCCTAGAAAGTGCCGGCAGGATTGAGGCAGTTAGCAGCTTAAGCCATGGGTTCCAAGCACTTTCATGTTAGATACTTAGACCACGAAGTAACAAGATGTATGATGACATGTTCGTACTTGGACCTTTTAATTTTGCTTGCGAGCACATGATAAGTGTAGATAAGTTCGAGTAAAGCCATCCGGTGCACGTGGTATGGCTGGTAAGGGCGGATGCTGGGCCATCCGCTGCGCTTACCCAAATATCCAAGTAAGAACGACGATACTGAAAAATCAACTGAGCCCCTAAGATGGTGGGTCAGCATGAGAGACTGTAAGCACAAACCGTTTTTCATTTGTGGACTTCCCCACCTAAACTCAAACTGCGATCGAAAGCTAATCTCCGAACAACCGCGAAACTGAGCTGTCGGTCCTTCTGTCGTCGTTTGGGGGGAAAGTGGGCAAGATTAGGCGAGATATGTCATGACTTTGCCAAAACCACAGAAGGCTTTGCGTCTGTCTTATTTACGTGCTCAGAAGGAAGCCTTTGCTCCTGGGCACGTTTGGAATCGATGCGGGGCCTCCCCTGACTGCTACACGGTCATGGGCAGAAGCAACAACCTTTCAAACAGCATCAGGATCGAAACGGAACGCCAGCCACAGAATTTGAAAAACCCACCGCTCCAGTCCCGTTTACTAAGGTCCCCAGCACGCTCACAGCAAGAGAGCAAATGTGTAAACCCGTTCTCCGCCCACATGCTGCTGCACAGAGTATCTAGCTCGGAGCACTTATTTGTCTTGGGTGTCTGGAGCTGTGGCGGTGCGCACCTTTTGCGTCGCTTCTGGGGTGCTTGCTCGCTTGCTCGCTGGGAGCACGCGACCCATTGCTCCAATTCCAGGCCCTATTACTCTGAGTTTCTTTGCTGATTCAATGTGACTAAACACTCGGCTGCCAACTTCGAGCAACAACGGATCCATTGCAAGTAATCGTTGAACTGACAGCTCAAGAGATTCAGAAGGGCGGCCATGCTGCAAAAAGCCCAGCCCAACACCACGGCTTCTCTGAAGATCTTTCAAGACACTGCGGGCTTCTTAGCACTGATGGAGCAGCATGTCGTCCCCGGTACAGTCTTGGTTCCGATTGGGTTCAGGTTCAGGACTGTTCCATCGCGCTCCACGGTTGCTTTGGACGGTGTGGTGCGTCTGGCGATTCATGGCCGCTACGGTCGTTGGCATGCAAGATGTTCTTTCATGCCTCTTCTTAGAAATGCTGTCCGCCTTCGTTCCACCACCAGAAGCAACTGATAAAGAAGTTGCAAGTGGGTTTGATTCTCGGACTGGGTAGGAGATTTCTAAACTGAAGAAAACTTTGACATGTAGTTTCTCGTAGTTACCGGCGATTCAGATGCATGGTGGACATATTATGTACTCATGACCCGGACGTAAAGGTCCTGACTCGATTTCAATAGGGTTGTGGGTACAAATAACTTATAACTGTACAAGGATTGGCAGGGGATGACTTTCTTCGTGTCCACCTCTCCCAAGACCAAGCTTCTTTGACTCTGCGATTCGGCGAGCTCCGACAGTTCGGGGTGCAGACAGCATAGGCTAAGCAGAGACCTTAGGTCGCTTCACTTCTGCTGCCTTGGTGTGTTGGCCACCGGATCGGCACCAGCAAGGACTTGCTCAACCACCTACTTGCTCAATCTGTCACTCGGTCATTCGGGCACTCTCAAGCACTCACTGGCTCACTCAAGCACCCCCGCCCGCCGGCCATCACTAGTTGACTCACCCATTCAAGCGCACGCGCTTTGTCGCACATTGGCTCGCCCTGCAAGGCTTCAATCCTGATCCTTTGCCCACATGGTCATCCTGACGCACAGTGCCGCTGGCTGAGGGCAGCGCGGCATCCGCAGCCATGATGCTGGCACTTTCACCTCGCCAGTGAACCGGACAACGTTTCAAGTGAAGACTCCAGCACGCACGGCATCACTGGTGCTTAGAATGCTAAGCCAGATGCTGGCGTCATCTCTGCATCTCTTTTCCAGAGAGACCGTAACATCACCTGTCCCGCTGTGCTCAGCGTGCACAACAGGTTCAGGATGGTCCAGGTCCCCGCTGCCTGTTGGCGAGGACAAGAGGTGCTCCTGCAGCGAAAACAAGGCTTCGACTAAGATTGCTAGCGTTGCTGTCGGAAAACAACTCTCTTCCACAGCCACATGCCTCGCACAAGAAACTGCCGCCAGAAGTAGGGTTGACCTGCAGCAGGTACTTTGTTTGAATCAGCCGCGAAACCCGTCTGCAGCCGCATATAGCCGCATGGTTGCTTGTAGATCGTTGGATCTCGCGAGAGATTGGTTACTGCCGATGTCTGCGTTGAAAACACATGCACTTGGATCGACTTGTTACCGTTCGGCCTCGACCACCCCGAACTTTGGCAATGACATCTTCCACGCCTCGTTCGGGTGTTCAGGTGGCAAGCTCTGCTCAATGACTCATGTAACCAATACCGACACAAGTATAACGCTGCGTGCTTTCGACCTGCCTGGCTGCCTGACAGAAAGAGCTACCGGTCGCTCTAATGCTTACTCCTCTGGGTCAGCTTCGTTCGGTCTCTCGCAAACAGGATGCAGGTCTTTCATCTGATCTGGGAAGTGGCGTGGAGAACGTGTGAAAGGCCATGCATGCGCTTTGGCAGCTGCGGGACACTCGTGTTTCAGACACAGAAACAACCCGTGCCTCTTCGACAGGTACCCTCAGTGGAGCGTGCCAGCTTCTGACGACACTGCGGTTCAGACTCGCTAAAAGCTAGACTGCTCGATGCGAGTAGTTCGAACATGGTGATGTGATTCCCATGCTGGCAAGCAGCCCTTTGAAGTACGCTAGTAGCAGCTGAAGAACCGTGATGTGGCTCACCTGAAGCCGGGATGATCACGGACTTTTAGCCGCAATCATCAATCTGGATGGTGATAGCTCAACGAACAGGTATCACTCAATAAGCTTCTGGCGATCAGAACTGGCGATGTGCACATTTCAACCTCACGTGCTGAATGCAGCAACAGAATACACCGGTGTTCTCAACCTCCTCTGCTCGTTTTCTAGGGGAGTTGAGTAGTGGCAGGTTCTAGTTCTGTACATGGCTCAGGCACTTCTTGCATGCCACCAGCTCGGCTGTCCAATCAGGGAGTACTGTAACGGGAACCGCTCTGGGGAGTAACGGCAACCCATCTCGTACACCGCAACGGAAACGTGTGGCCGTGGAAGCAACAATCAGGCGACCAGCATAACAGGAACTGCCACCAAACAGGAACATGCATCGGAAACCAGCAAGGCATGGGCCGGAGGCTTTTACGCTTGCAAAGTACAGGGCCGAGAACCGGTCCCCCACGGGCAAGCCTGAATTACGTTGGAATAGAAAAGGATATCGACGCATTGGGACACGCGTACGCACACACAGGCACAGGCATCCTTCGGCATCCATCGCGCAGCAACTCATCTGTTGTTTATCAAGCATTGCTTGATGTATCTTGAAAGCATGAACCTTTCAGGGGTTCCGTATCTGTTTGGACTGAAGGCTGGTCAATTTCTGCTGATCTCTACATGGCAACTGGAACCCCCATGGACATGTGACAACTGGTCGGCATTGATCAATCCAGCTGCACACCCGGCGCCCAGGAACTGATCTGCAGGTAGGTTTTCCTGACTACATCATACAGAGCTTCGTTGGCCCGAGCTGTATGATGAGTCCTCGGTCCCCCGGCACTCTCAGTGGTAGACTCTTGGTGACAAAATTTCACACACACAGTAAGCCACTAGGGCGATCAAAAAGGATTGGCTTCACTGTCGAATCAAACTTTTTTGGCTGCATAGGACAATGGACATAATCTCATATCCCAAAGGTGACGGGCAAAGAATGACCGTCAACTACATTGTCGGGAAGAACATGCAAAAATTAAAGCCAAGCTCACTCACAGCGACATGAGATCACGGAGAAGCGGATCGTTTTCGCTTTTATGGCGCAGAAAACTCTGACTTGACCGTGGGCTGAACTTCATCTTGGACCAGTTTTTGTTCACGGTCCTTTCGCAGGCGATGAAAAAGTCACTGTGTGGTTGCTGGGAACCAGTTCTTCTGCCATTGAAGGCCATCAAGTGTTGACCAATACTATTGCCATGTTTGCTCTGACGATCGTGACCCGAGAAGTGGCACTCTCGGGCATATTGGCCACTAAACTAATGAGCAATATGGCAACTGCGCAAACACGAAAATGAAACATTAAGATCAGCAGCACACTCAGGCTCAACTGAAGCACGGAACTTTGTTCATGCGCGAGACAAACACCGGTCCAGTACTTGATTGAATCTCTTCTTATTGCTTCTGCCAGAATGTGGCAGGCTCTTGACAAAGTCGAGCATGAGCTTTGCTCTGCTAGATCGTTTGAATTCATGGCACAGAGGACATGTGGCTTTTTTGCAGCAGTAATGTTGCACTTTGGGCCATTGATTGTTGGACTGTTTTGCACGATCTCGCCTGTATAGGGCTG